TATATATATATATATATGAATGATAAACGATATAAATGAGATATATAACCAAAAATATTATGATAAAATTGAGAAATATTACATATAAATTATGACAGAACTTACATTTTTGTGTGAACTTTTCCTTTAACGGTCTTTGACAGACAGTGTTGTTCTCCTCAGGTGCATTATGAGTGGTGGCGCAGGATCCTGAAGTACTTCTGGATGTCTGTGGTGGTTTACACCATGCTTGTGCTCATCCTAATCTACACCTGTCAGTTTGAGAACGCCATCAATACCTGGTCCAGTATGACGGGCATGTCAGAAAAAGCGTGAGTTTTGAACATCCTAAATATGTTTGATCAGGTGGACTTACCACAAACCATACCGTAGTGAGCTGTTTGTTGAGTCAGCATCCTAACAGAACCTTATATTTGAGGCACAAAGCATATTGGTGTTGCCTTCGACTCTGACCAAAATAAAAGTGTTTTAAGTCATGATTCTCTGTTGCTCTCTCAGACTGGGGGACATCGGTCTGGAGAAGTACAGCCTCTCTGAGTTGTTCACCCGTATCTTCATCCCCACGTCCTTCCTGCTGGTCTGCATCCTGCACCTGCATTACTTCCATGACCGCTTCCTGCAGCTCACCGATCTCAAAGCCGTCATCAGCAAAGAGCAGAGCACCATTTACAGGTGAGAGACGCTTTCCCGCTAGTCACAGCTGATGCTACCAGGAAGTGTGGATGTGTGATGTCATTTTAGGTGAGGTCATGTGTCATAATATCTGAAATCTGATTAAACGAGTCACATTTGATGTCGTAACACAAATGCATAACTGTAACCACATCTCAAATCAACTATTTTCTTAGTGAAATAATTATAATAATAAAAAATAAATCAATAAATAATTATAATAATTATTATTATTGTTGTTGTTGTTATTTTGCGTAATAATAATTATTATTATTAAACATCAATACAAATATTTTATAATAATTGTTTGTTGATCATTATCTCTTGTGTTGCATTGCTTTAATTATGAATTGTAAACAGAAAATTAGTAGCAATTTTTTACTTGTAATAAAGGGGTTTGTTTTGTTTGTTTGTTGATCTTAATGCTTCATTTCTCACTAGCTTCTTTCATGATTGGTTTCTCTCTGTTGAATCTGCAGCAGTGTCATCTTAAATGCTGCCAATCATCATCATGCAAATCCATTTCTTATTTTAACCGATAATGTGCTCCCGTCTTTCCCCTGCCGTCCCTCACCTCACAGCTATACTAAAGTCAGTGGTCGTATCTATCTGATCGTGGATAGGTGGGTGACTGCTTGTCTTTCTCTGGCATCCATGGAAAAAACAACCAATGTTCACCTTTTCCCTGATTTCCCATAATCCCTCTTTCTTCTCACTTACTCCTGTTTGTCAGTACACTCTTTGCTCTCTTAATGATGTCACTTTTTTTAACGGCCCGCTAGATTCCTGGATAGATCAAAAAATGTATAAAGTCAATCTATGCGTCTTTTTCCACTGACTTGGTTTCCTGTCCAGAACTCAAACGTTTGCTTTAAATGTTACAGAAAGTCAACATGAAAATGCATTCAAAACAGTTTTATTTCCATAATCTGATGTTTTTTTCCCCCAATCAAAACAAATGTTCAATGAGTGACAAATGTGTGTGTATGTAAATCAGGTCCTGATTAATAAAATAAAAAGTTGACAAAATTATTTTTTGCCCTCATTGAATATTCATTTTCATTGGGAAATGGAAGGCTGTGTCTTTATTACATTTCAAAGGCACTAAAAGGCTGCGTTAACTATTGGTAAGATTTTAGAAAGGCTGCTTTACCTTCAACAAGAGCCTAAAATATTAACTAAATAAATGTTTGACTGTTTGTTCATTTTAACTAATAACCTGAATAGGGTCAGTGACATTAGCCGATAACAGTGTTATTTTAGTATTATTTCTATACTATTATAGCATATATTAACATTTTGAATTAGTTTTCAGTTTAATTTAATGTAGTTTTAATTGGAATGTAGTTGTTCTTTTTTCTTAGTTTTGGTTTTTGATATTTCTGTTTAGCTTTAATGCATTCTCTTTTTCTGTTTTAGTTGTTTTTTTTTTGTTTTGTTTTTTTTTGTCTTTCATCTAATATTTATTTTATTTTATTTAAAAAAATATATAGTTTTAGATTTATTTAACAGTAACAACACTGGCCAAAAGTTATTTCAGAGGTTGTCTGCGTTATTTACTTTGATCATTTTTATACTTTTTTTTTTGTATGTTTGTTTTTGAATAACATTTATGGCCACAAATGCGTATTAAAAAACGAAATAGGGTCGGTTTTGATTTCATGTTGACTTTAAACCTCTGCCTGCTCAAATGCATCCCAGAAAGTCCTACTTGAGCCGGTATATCCTGACGATAGTCCTGCTCTCAGACTCTGACAGGGAATGAATCTCCTCAGCATGTCTCTGAAATGCACGTCCTCTCCTCCTCAAAGAATCTCTCTGTCCCTCTTTCTCTGTCTCACCTTACAGTAATGTTCAATTGTGTGAAACTTTTCATTGCTTTGATTTCGTATATTTCCATTCTGTAAATTGCTTCAACAGCCTCAAGCAAAAAATCTCTTCTCCTCAGAGCAAGTAAGTGTGGTATTTGACATGAAACCTCATCATGCGAGCGTTTAAACCCTTCATAGCAGCGAGACCATCTGGAAGAGGCCATTGCCACTAAAATCTGACTGCTGAAATATTTGTTTGTTTTGGTTTGGTTTTTCAGTCACATGATTCACGTATGGCAGACACATGCATTGCTTCTTTACAATAATTATGCAATCCGGCTTGTTCCTTACGGATCTAATGCACACGGCATCCATGTTTTCCACCCAAACCCTGCCTGTGGAATCCTGATTCAAGGCACTAACATTTAAATAACTGCGTTTTATAACCCAAACTGAGCAGCATGTGATGTAAGTTCAGCGAAAATATGGGTGATTCATCATTTAGAGGAACTTTTCTCAGATTTTAAAGACAAAAATTTCTAGTTTTAATTCTAGTTTCACTGTGGTTCTTTAATTTATTCAAAATGTTATGAGTGTCAGAATGTTGAATTCGCCAGAATTTCTTTATTTTCTTTACAATCCCCCTACATTTTCTTAAGAACTTTTTGAATAAAATTAAAAATTAAATTGAATCAAATTCCTCAGCATGTCTCTGAAATGCACGTCCTCTCCTCCTCAAAGAATCTCTCTGTCCCTCTTTCTCTGTCTCACCTTACAGTAATGTTCAATTGTGTGAAACTTTTCATTGCTTTGATTTCGTATATTTCCATTCTGTAAATTGCTTCAACAGCCTCAAGCAAAAAATCTCTTCTCCTCAGAGCAAGTAAGTGTGGTATTTGACATGAAACCTCATCATGCGAGCGTTTAAACCCTTCATAGCAGCGAGACCATCTGGAAGAGGCCATTGCCACTAAAATCTGACTGCTGAAATATTTGTTTGTTTTGGTTTGGTTTTTCAGTCACATGATTCACGTATGGCAGACACATGCATTGCTTCTTTACAATAATTATGCAATCCGGCTTGTTCCTTACGGATCTAATGCACACGGCATCCATGTTTTCCACCCAAACCCTGCCTGTGGAATCCTGATTCAAGGCACTAACATTTAAATAACTGCGTTTTATAACCCAAACTGAGCAGCATGTGATGTAAGTTCAGCGAAAATATGGGTGATTCATCATTTAGAGGAACTTTTCTCAGATTTTAAAGACAAAAATTTCTAGTTTTAATTCTAGTTTCACTGTGGTTCTTTAATTTATTCAAAATGTTATGAGTGTCAGAATGTTGAATTCGCCAGAATTTCTTTATTTTCTTTACAATCCCCCTACATTTTCTTAAGAACTTTTTGAATAAAATTAAAAATTAAATTGAATCAAATTAAATTAAATTAAATTAAATGCATTTTTTTTTTTAATCAATAAAATAATTTACTTGGTATTCATAGGTACAATTTGCTTTTTCATTACAAATAGTTTGTTTTGTTTTTTTCTCATAGTGCTGTCATTACTGACATGCCAAGTATTTTATTACATTTTTCTAAAAAAAATTTCACAATGGAAAATAAAAGCAGAGTGATAGTTTGAGGAGCAGAAATATATTTAAATTTTTAGATTATTAATATAAATATATTTTTAAATAATCTCTAGCATATTGCTATTGCTCTCATAGCAAGCATTTTATTATTACATTTTTATAAAGTTTTTTTTTCATGATGGAAATGAAAAGCAGAGTGATAGTTTGACGAGCAGATGCATTTTAATTTTTAAATCCTTTTTAGTCTTTATTTGGAATCATTACCAAACTGGTTAGTATTCGAACATTTTTAATTAAAGAAGAAACAATGCATTTACTTGTATTAATTCAAAACAAATGTACAGCAGACGTGTTCTATTAGCATGCAAATCCAACTTTTTGGTCATAAGATCAGATCTTTATTCCAGGACATGTGATAAATGTTTTAAACTTAGATGGTGTACAGAAGTTTTTCAAGCTTTGAAGAAGTCAAAAGCGCCTCTATTTGAAGAGTCACTCATATGTCACATATATAATAATGTAAATGATGCTTCCTCTCCTAATGCAATCTTCCTGATCTGCAGACTGGCTCATCCTGATGGGAGTCTGGCCGATCTGACGATGAAGAGCATGTCTCCAGAGCCGCTGCTGAAGGAGGAGAAGGAGAAGGAGTCCATGAACGAGGTGCTGGTTGTGGACTGTGTGGACGAGGAGAAGAAGAAAGAGTCTCTGTCCATCCATTCAGCTCATCTGTCCAGTCAGGAGGACATTCAGCAGTTCAGCGCCGCCACAGATCCTGAACTGCCCTCAGAACAGAGCTCAGGTACTGCAGTCCAGTCTAAGTCTGGTATTGGGTAGTTTCGTTTATTCATTCCAGCACAGTATATCTTTTCTATACTTATGTATGGTTTTACATGGTCCTGTATGGATTTTATCCTGCTGTAGTCTAGTGTAGTTTACATTTATATATCAGTTTTACACATTTCTTATTATCTTTTATTCTGTATACAGTTGTTCTAATATGTATGTGGGTCAAAGACAGTAAGATGTCCGCATCAAAAGAAATGTACAAAAGTGATTTTATGTCCATAGAAAGCACATTAAATGTAAGTAAAGTGTCCACTTTAAAGGTTTCAAATAAGTTTTTGGAGGATAAAATGTCAAAATTTGGGTGAAATAATGTTACATTGTCATTCAGTGTAACACAATATTTATGTAAAAATTAAAACAACCTGCTTATTCTGACGTGTACATATTAAAACATATAAAAGAATAAGGGAGCATATTAAATTTTATTCTGTTTTAAATGAGTAAAAAAATTCTTACTGACAAATGGGCAAAACCTAGGATAGTGGCAAATTTTAAAAATGTAAAATTGCAACTAATTAGTATTTGGGGTGAAAGTAATTAGTCTTTTAATATGTCACAAATTGATTTTTGTTGTAAATATGCCTGACAAGATTGTTACACTGAATGACATTTTAGTGGGTCTCTTCTGTAAATCAGGGGAAAATGTATGATATTTATTTTTTGCTCAGAAACAAACTTTTTCATTTTTGGGGGGGAAAAACAACAACAATTTAAAGCAGTATTACACTTATTGTTTTTATGATTAAACCCTTTTTCATCTTTGACCCATGCATATATATTTATATGTTTATTTACTTAATGATTTCAGGCTCCTATGAAAATAACATTGAACACTTGAATTTTTTTTTTTAATTAAGACAACCAATAACGGACTAATAACCCTTTCATTACCATAAAAGTGAAATTACTGAACCTCATTTCAAAGAAAAAATCTTACTTAGAGGCTTATAGGTGTGTGCATATACAGTATATATACAGTATATATATTTTAAATATACATTTTTTTGTGTGTGTGTTTTACACCAAGCATATACAATATACAATATAAAACATTGTTAATCCAGTAAAGAGAGCATTACATTCAATTGATTTCAAATCCTCTGAAGCATGAAACTATTGGATAGTTCTGCAGTTCACATTTTTCTTCATTTTTTAAATGCATTTATACAGTGGGTACGGAAAAACTTGTTGCATCTTTCCCAAAAAGACTCATGGCTGTATTAGATCAAAAGGGTGCTTCTACTAAATACTGAGCAAAGGGTCTGAATACTTAGGACCATGTGATATTTCAGTTTTTCTTTTTTAATAAATCTGCAAAAATGTCAACGATTCTGTGTTTTTCTGTCAATATGGGGTGCTGTGTGTACATTAATGAGGAAAAAAATTAACTTAAATGATTTTAGCAAATGGCTGCAATATAACAAAGAGTGAAAAAATTGAAGGGGGTCTGAATACTTTCCGTACCCACTGTATGTGTCTGTTCAACGTTAAAGTACTTAGTGACTTTACTGTATTTTGTCTCAGATACAGTCTGTTTAGTATTTTGGTCTTAGATTGTGTCTCTTGTGTTCATAACATGTAAACCAAAGAAATCAAGCTTCAGGTGTCAGATCTCTCCTCACTTCTGTTTCAGACCTTAAGAATAAATGGCATTTGGTGGTGGACCGGCTCACGGTCCTGTTCCTCAAGTTCCTGGAGTACTTCCATAAGCTGAAGCTCTTCATCTGGTGGCTGCTGGAGATGCACATCATCAAAATCGTGTCCACTTACATCGTCCTGCTGTCTGTCAAAGAGGTAGAAGCTCACACTTGAGGTTATGGTACAGTAATCTGAAGGTGTTTCTGTTTCTCACGTGTGTCTCTTGCAGGTCTCGCTCCTGAACTATGTGTTTTTGATCTCATGGGCGTTTGCACTGCCGTATAAGCAGTTTCGAGTTCTCGCTTCTAGCGTTTGCACCATGTGGACGTGTGTCATCATCATCTGCAAGTTGTTTTATCAGCTAGAGACCATCGAACCCAGCAACTACTCAAGTATTTGTACTATGGTGGGTTTCTTTACTCATCAAATGAGTTTGTCGTTATTCAGATGGGATTCGTTTACATTTAATGAAAAACGCTTGTCATTTCAAGCCCATCCATATTTAGTTCGGCTGTATCAGAAGAGCAGATTTGCTGGTTCTTGTGTTTAATCATGTGATTGTGGTCTCTGTAGCCATCCAACTACACAGAAGAGCAAATGATGGACATGAATCATTCTCTACTGTACCGGAAGCCCGTGGATCCTGCAAACTGGGTCGGCCTGGAGAAGTTTGAAGAACCTGTACTGCCCAACCTGAGGGTGAGGAGACATGATCAATATTTTCTGGGAAATATGAGTTTTCTTAATAATGTATGGCACCAAACTAGCCTCTACTGAGTGCCAACTTCATGTTTTATGCTAAATGTGCAACCTATTATTATTATGCCTACAAGTATACCTATTATTACCTATTATGCCCTATTATAATATTTAATACCGTCTAAGATTACATAAATTTAAAGCTGCATTCCGTAACTTTTTTTTTTTGGTGAAAAATTATACAAAATCAATTATTGGGCAAGTACATATACGATCAGTGTTCAAATCTCCTTACCTTAGCCCGATTCACAACGGTAATGCCGAGTTCACACTGCGTGATTTTCAAACTCGTCGGATCGCCGTTGTTTTCACACTGCGTGATTATCTGGGGTAGCATTCAGTTGCTGCTGTGTTCACATTGCACGATGGATCGGCGACAGGGAGTTTCACTGCAAAAAATGCTTTTCTAGTTTAGGTCTTTTGTCTTGTTTCCAGCCAAAATATCTAAAAATTCTTACATCAAGAAGGATTTTCTAGACAAGTAAAAATTATTGTCTTGTTTTCAGAAAAAACAAGTCAAAATTAAGTGAGTTTTTGCTTGAAACAAGCAAAATAATCTGCCAATGGGGTAAGAAAAATAATCTTGTTTCAAACAGAAAAGACACACTGGTGTGTTGACTGAAAGCCCACACATGCAGGTTTCAAACAGAGACAGACTGCAGCTTTAATGTTTATTGCTAGAAAATCACACAAATCAGGGTTTTAGTTGTAGTTAATCATCCCATATTTTAGTAGCAAGTTGGCACAATTGGCAAATACAGTAAGTATAAAACAAATCCAAAAGCACATGTATTATTTAATGTATCCTCTTGAGGTGGAGAGTCTTTCTTTTCTGAATGAAGCATTTCATTGATGAAGTGATTGACTTTCTGATGTACAGAGCTCGTTTACATTCATCTTCTCGCTCTTCTCTTTCTTTCTCAGAATAACTTGTTGATGTTGGCCATCTTGGCATTTGAAGTCACCATTTACAGACATCAGGAGTTTTTCCGTCTGAGAAACAAACTCTCTCCTCCTCCCTCTCGGACCATCTTTCACGACATCACCCGGCAACACCTCGACAACAGCATCATCAACTGCGCCAAATACTTCATCAACTACTTCTTCTATAAGTTTGGTTTAGAGGTGCATTTCATTTCTTTCTTTCTTTCTTTCTTTCTTTCTATCTATCTATCTATCTATCTATCTATCTATCGTTCTATCGTTCTGTCTATCTATCTATCTATCTATCTATCTATCTATTTATCTGTCTATCTGTCTGTCTATCTATCTATCTATCTATCTATCTATCTATCTATCCTATCGTTCGTTCTATCGTTCGTTCTATCAATCTCTTTATCGTTCTATCTTGTTCCGGTGTGGTGGCAGGTGTGCTTCCTGTTGGCAATCAATGTGATGGGTCAGCGGATGGATTTCTACTCCATGCTGCACGGTTTGGCTCTGGCTGTGGTGATGTACAGACGCCGGAGGAAAGCCATCGCTGAGATCTGGCCCAAATACTGCTGCTTCCTGGCCTGCATGATCACCTTCCAGTATTTCATCTGCATTGGAATCCCACCGTCTGCTTGTAAAGGTATGTTACTTTATGCCTTTTCACATGTCTTACTTATTAATCACAGATTCCCATTTTCTCAGTGATATTGATGCAGAAACTCAGGGGTGTAAAAAGTACTCAAAAATGTTGAAAGTAATGTGTGGACACACACCCGGAGCAGTGGGCAGCCATTTGTGCTGCAGAGCTTGGGTAGCAATTGCTCAAAGGCACCTCAGTCGTGGGAATTGAAGGTGGATTGAAGGTGTTCATTCACTCTCCCCACCGATATTTCCTGCCGGTACTGAGAATCGAACTTGCAACCTTCTATTAGGCCACAGCTAGCAGCTGAAATGGGTACTGCAGTCCAAATACAAAATACTGGAGAAAGTCTTTTCTCCTGCTCCCTCCTCCTCAGACCTGACGCTCACTCGGGTTGCCAGGTTGAGGACATGCAACAGGGGCGAAGCACGAGTGACAACAGAAGGTGATGAGTCTTACACTGTAAGCTGATATGTTAATTTATCCGCCTCTTAATATGCCTCTGGACATAGAGCTTTTTATTTCGATGCTGAGGCTTTTTGGGTCGGGTAGAATTAGCGATCTCTGACCCAGTTCATTTGCTGGCTTTCATGGCTGTGTTTTCCGCCAACTGGCAACCCGGGGTTTCAAAATACTATTGGGTAAAATGGCAGTGGGCAGAATTTTTGGAGAAACATATGTGAACGTAGCATGTTTCCTTAATATCTGCCAATATATCATGGTATTTTGTGCTTTAGTACAGTCAGAAAACATACAGCACCTTTATGGTAGGTTTAAGACAAGTGGTATACAATTAAAACATACAATATTGACTTCTAAAGCCACTTTTTGTCATATTGACTTCTACAGAAACACATCGTATAACCTCAGAGTTCATAAAATGTCTTAAAGGGTTTATACATGCTGTTTTTTATTGATTTTTTTGTTTAAATTATATGCTTGCTTACAGAACCATATTGTTGATCAGCTAGACTAAATAAAATTGTAAAAGTAAAAAGTATAGTTTTTTCAAAGCATGCAAATACATGTACAAGACTTGGATATGTGTGACATCATTGTGCAGTGACAGATCATGTGAAGCACATCTGACTTTGAAAAATAGTACTGAACATTCTGATTGAAACGTCTGTGGAGTGACTGAAATGCAAGTATATTTACTTCTGGCATATCATAACATCTGTATGTTTGTATGAGTTTTGCGTTTTTCCAGTGATCTAGAATGTTTATTTCTCTAAGCTTGTCTTTCTAGATTATCCCTGGAGGTTTTCTGAATCCATGATGGATTCTGACATCATTAAATGGCTTTTCCTTCCTGATTTCCACACTCAACCCAACTCCTTGTTCCTCGTCTGTGAGTTCTTCCTCAGAAATATTCAGCATTGCTTATATGTGTTGCCATTTAACATTAGAGGTTGTTCTGCTCAGCAGGAGATGTGAACATGAAACGGTGGTCAAACTTAATCAGTCCTCTTAGACTTGCAGGGTCAGACTTTTGACCGTCAGTATAAGGTCTGGTCCATTTCGGTCCAGGTTTTTCTGACCCACATGCAAACTGACCGACCACATTTCTATTTTTTAACGTGACATTTAGAGAGCGGGTAAATATGAAATTGACCGCAGGGAATCACAGCGTCAGTCTCTGACAGACAAGATACGAATGTATATCTGTCTGAAAGTATTAAATTAAGTCATTTTTTGTTAGTTTATTAAATTATTACAATATTTGATTTATTATGGTTTACATTTTTTGTTTTAGTGTTATTTCATTTTCAGCCATAATACAGAAAATTGCTTATAGTTAAATTATAACATTATTGTATTTAGTATGGTTTACATTTTTTTATTTTAGTTCTATTTTATTTTTGAACCATAATACAGAAAATGACTTGAACTGCCACAATCAATACATCTTAGGAGTTATTTTATTTTATTTTATTCTATTTTATTTTATGTCATATCATGTCATGTCTAAAAGTAATAAATAATGTCTTTTTCAGTTAGTTTATTAAATTATCACAATATTTTGTTGTTTTACATTGTTTTATTTTAGTTATATTTTATTTTTAGCCATAATGCAGAAAACACATTGCACTGTAGCAGTCAACACATTGTCTTAAGAGTTATTAATTAAATTGAAAACATTTTATTTTTTATTTTATTTTATTTTAAGAAAAATAGTAAAAAAAAATAAATGAATTGTGTGAAGCCATCCAATATTTTTTTTGCGAATGTATCAGACGGTGTGTGACTGCCTTCAGCAGTCAGTAGACATGCAAAAATACCACCAGCCTCTTGGTCCTCCATGTTGACCCTTAAATTGGTTTCCTCTCTCCTCTGTCTGATGTAGATGATTTCATGCTGCTGCTGTGTGCGTCGCTGCAGAGGCAGGTGTTTGAAGACGAAAACAAAGCGGCCGTTCGTCTGATGGCGGGAGATAACGTAGAGATCTGCCGAGACCTGGACGCAGCGTCCTTCAGCGTTCACAACCCTGTACCGGACTTCATTCACTGCAGGTACACACAACACACATGCTTAACTTACAGCTTCATGATTGAACACTGATATGTCATCAGAGAACTGTGGATTTTTAGCAGGTTAAAACTTGTGGAAAAACTACAATTGATTAATAATGTTTCAGTGGATCAGTGGGGAATCTTGAAGCGAGTCTCAATTCAAAGCCAGTTAGATTAAAATAGATTAGATTATAAAAGTTGTATAATATAATAATTAATTAACAGCAACAACAACAATAATAATTATTATTTTTATTTAATTTTTAGGTGTTTTAGGCTAGCTGTTGATTACCGAATAATCAGATGCAACTTTGCAAATTTCCTCTTTCAGACAGAAAAAAGAATAAAGGACAAATAAATCAAGAACATATGTACAGTAAGTACAGTATGTAAATAAGTAAATAACAATTTTTTCAGATATTGTTTTAATTGGAATAATCAAATGCAACTTAACTAATTAAAAAATTCTCCTTCAGACAGAATGAAAAATAAATAAAGGATAAATAAATCAAGTAAGTAAATAAATACATTTCAGATATTTCAATTAGACTGATCAAATGCAACTTGGATAAATAAATCAAGTTAAATGAATAAAGTAAATACATACTTTCCAATGTTGTTTTATTTGAAATAATCAAATGCAACTTAGAAAATTTACATTTTCTCTTTCAGACAAAGTATAAATAAATCAAATAAACAAGTAAATATGTAAATATTTTTTTCATAAATGTCTTATGAAACATTGTCACATCAGCAAACTCTGTCATCTCAGATCAGCAGTCTTTTTGAAAAAGCCCTTCTTCTGGTTGCTTGTCGCTGCCTGCTGCTGTCAGTGTGAACGCCTCTGTATTTTCTGATGACTGGGTTGAGGAGCAGTTTATTTAGGTCTTTGAATGTCAGTCACTCTACTGTACGTGATCCTCTTTCTCCTTCTCTTTCCAAGAATTTCCACAGATCATATTGCAGAAAGAAGGGAAAAATCCATAAGGCACCATCACACGCTCTCTTTTCTCTCTCTGTCTGAGCTCTAACCCAATAAGTAGCTTTTAAGTACGGACTGATCTTTTATCTACAAGGTGATTGATTTTAGGGGAGGAAGCTGCTGCTTGTTGTGGTCCATCAATGCAGGTCCATATCACAACATCTCAGCTTTTCATCAGAGCTCTTAGCACAGGCCTGTGGCTAAACACAGCGTCCAGCCGTGAAGCCAGGAGGATGTACTTTAACCTTTGGAGTGGCGGGTCTAAAGTGCATTTCAAAGCATGTGTGAGCTGTTAGCGTGCAAGAAAATAAGCAGCGCGTCCATATACATGTGAAGGAATCGCTCCGGGTATCGATCCGCTCATTATAATTATGCCTGTCAGAATGTCTGATACTATATAGGAAATGAAGCAGAACATTTAAATAAATGATGGCTGCATTCACATTTGCATACTTCTGTTGTGCACTTAAAAATCAAGTGTGTCATTTTTTCACTGTTAAAATGTTTTCTTCTCTGCTAGTTTTATTTAACTAATTAACTTATTACAATATTTTATTAATGATGTTTTATTTTCAATCATAATGCCGATAAATACTTAAACATTGTACATTATTTTATATTTATATTTTTTATATTTATATTTATGTAAAGTTGTCATATGACGTTGCTAAAAAAGAACGTGTATTTGTGTGTAATGAAATGTGTTTATGCGGTTTAAAGTTAAAAAAACACATTCTTTTCCACATACTGTACATTATTGTTTCTCCTCTATGCCCCGCCTTTCTAAAACGCGTCGATTTTTACAAAGCTCATCGGTCTGAAAAGCGAGGTGTGCTCTGATTGGCCAGCTATCCAGTACGTTGTGATTGGCCGAAAACCTCAAGCATGTGACGGAAATGTTATGCTTCTACCATATTGTGATGCCGTGTCCCGGCCGGAGCGACGAGACAAAACCAATAAAACCCATTATAAACGAGGCATTTGTTGCATCCAGTGGGGACATAATTACGGATTATAATGACTTATACTGTCTTTTTACGCGTTGCGTTGCATCGCGCTGCGTAAACATAAAACCATGTCTGCATTTGTGATCGGAGAAATGACAAACAACAAGTGCTACTCTACACTGCCCAAAACTCACGTTTGAATCATCAGTGGCAAATTCTTTAAATATGAAAACGTACTTACAGGCTGTGAGTCAGCATTATTTGTCAGAACACCGGCATTGTAGTCTACTCTCCCAGGAAACAGTTCTCGTCCTCCGTAAATTGCGTTGCACACATCTGAATATTTGGGTTGAAGTGTTCTGGAACAGTGTTGTAAATACAACTTAACCACTGATTTCTAGTTGTGTCCTCTTTTGGAAGACCAAACAAAGTAGTTTCGCTTTCATAACGAAACACACAGTGACTCTAGACATGGCGGTGGCGGCAACAATACTACAGCGAGAATCAAAGTTACGCCTTCTTTCTTTGCGTGAAGATTTGGCCGGTGTTATGCAAATCTTCCCACACAGTGACGTAAACATGTGGGGGCGTGTTTAAACGTGGCGCTTTAGGAAGGCGTGGATGAATCTTAACTTTTATAAAGAATATAACCCTCTTTGGGTTTGAGACTTTAGTCTTTGCAACTTTAGGGCTCTTATCTATTCACAAACAGCTTGTAACACTCCAAAGAGAAAGGCAAACTTGAAATCGCATCATATGACCCCTTTAAAGCCTTTATTTTATATGCTCTACATTTGTCATATAATCGTCATATAAAATGTTTTAGTAACTGTTAAAATACTTTCTCCAATGCTGGGTTTTTAATTACTGTAAGTCAAATAGTTTATTCTGAATAACCGGCTATCGGCATCAGCTGAGAAATGTAGTGTCAGTGCATCACGTTTGGAGAGATAATTAGACAGATGTCAGTTAAAGGTTGCTCTCATGTTAATGTTATTTCCTTCTCTCAGGTCGTACCTGGACATGCTGAAGGTGATCATGTTTAGCTACCTGTTCTGGTTCGTCCTGACCATCATCTTCATCACGGGCACAACTCGGATCAGCATCTTCTGCATGGGTTACCTGGTGGCGTGTTTTTACTTTCTGCTCTTCGGTGGCGATCTCTTGCTCAAGCCAATCAAGAAGATCCTCCGTTACTGGGATTTCCTCATAGCTTACAATGTTTTCGTCATCACAATGAAGAACGTGTTTGCTGTGAGTGTCCAATACCTTAAAGAAATGCATACATTTACAGTTTTCAGTTATTTATTTATTTATTGTGTAGATAAATAATAAGAACATCCGAAGTCAGCATATTTTATTCTTTTTTTTTTTTTTTTTTTTTTTTTTTTACAGTATGTACACTACATTTAGCATCTAATTATCATATGAAGTTTTAATATCGGTGAATAAAAAAAAATGACATCAGTAAAACATTTTTAATTACATATTATATATTATTTTTTTTTGTTTAAACATGAATCATGCTTTAAAGTTGACTGCGCTACATTTTGAAAGCAATAAGCATATTTGGAGGCAAATTTAAATATTTAAATATTAATCACGTCAGCTACCAAAAATCATGACTAATCATGATTAATTATTTTACATACTCTACATGCACAGTAGCATTTAATTATCATATGAAGTAGTGTTTTAGTAAAGTTGAATAAAATAAAAATGTGACTTCAATGAAGCATCTTTGTTACATATTATGTAGTATTTAATAAACAAAATTACATCAATGAAATGTCTTTATTTTATTTAGTTAAAATGGGAATCAAATTCTTTAAAATTATGAAAGCAAGAAACATATTTGGAGGCAAATTGCAGTGAATTAAATATTTAGGATTTATTGTGTTAACTATTAAAACTATTAAGATTAATCATGATTAATTATTTTAATCTCTTGAAGGGGCTAATAAATGCATAAGCAGAGAAAATGAGTGAAGTAATAAATTAAAAGATGAGTAAATAACATGCAGGTTTTTTTCTTCATTTTTTCACAGATTTTGGCGTGTGGTTATATCAAGCATTTGGTGAAGAATAGCTGCTGGTTGGTTCAGCTGCTCAGTCTTTCCTGCACCATAAAAGAATACAAAGCTCTAGAAGGTAAAGAAGGGTTGCATTTCGCCAACATTCTGGTTTCTAATCTTTGTTATGTTATATACACATATTGTGAATTGAAAAAAAGTAGGCAGCCTATTTGTGTGCTTTCAAAGACACCAGAGCATCTGTCTTTCACAAAAAAAGGTGGTGCATTGCGATGAACCGAAGTGCTGTCCACAAACTATTTATTACAAATATATTTCAATATAAAAATATCTGATGACTTTAAATGTTTTTCGTGTGTCTTCAGGCGTGTCCGTAAAAGAATGTGAAGTGCCGAAGGACGAGGCCGGAATCATCTGGGACAGCATCTGCTTCACGTTCCTCCTGCTGCAGAGACGCGTTTTCATGAGCTACTACTTCCTGCATGTGGTCGCAGACATCCGCGCCGGACAGATTCTCGCATCTCGGTACCACATGTTTACATACGTTTACACAGATTGGTTTTCATGTTTACTTTTAAAGGGGTCATCCGATGCTACATGCACTTTTACAAGTCGTTTAAACTGAAATGTGTGTTGGCAGTGTGTGTACACAACCACCCTATAATGATAAAAATCCACCCAGTGTTTTTTTTTTATCTACTAAAATCTTTACCCCTTTCTCAAATCGAGCCGATCTCAGATGCACACACAGACAGGCCCCTCCCACGATAGTTTGATTGACAGTAGCGATCGTCCTCTTTTGGAAGGCCAACCAAAGTAGTTTCGCTTTCACAATGAAACACAGCGCCTTCATGACATGGTGGCGGCGGCAACAACAATACGACAGCGAGAATAAAAGTTACGCCTTCTTTCTTTGCGTGAACATTTGGGCAGCGTTATGCAAATCTTCCCACATCGTGACGTAGACATGTGGGGGCGTGTTAGAACGAGGCGTTTTAGGTAGGCGTGGTTGACTCTTAACTTTTATAAAGAATATCTCTTTGGATTTGAGACTTTAGTCTTTGCAACTTTACAGATCTTCTTTATGCACCAAGAGCTTGTAACACTCCAAAGAGAAAGGAAAAATTGAAATCGCATCATATGACCCCTTTAATGAATCTTTGCAAATCGCCTTTCCTAATAATGTGCTAATTAGCAAGTTTCACGATGAATGCGGCTAAAGTAAACAGTTCCTCAGAGAGCGGCTCAGAAGAGAGGGGTGGGGTCAGCAGAGCTCATTAACATTTAAAGGAAAATGCTACAAAACGGCTTGCTCTGAAAAGAGCTGTTTTTGACAGGGTAAAAAAGGTGTTTTTTACACTACCATTGAGAAATTTTAACCAAACTATGTTACAGACTTTTCATTAAGACCCTAAAGAATCATATAAACTTGTGATAAATGGGCATCCGATGACCCCTTTAAGTTTTTGTTTGAGGGATAATTTTATATTTGCAGTTTGAAGAACATTTCTATGGAAACTTATTTCTGCCTTGTCTTTTTATCTCACAATTCAGACTTTTTTCCTTATAATTCTGAGAAAAAATGTCAGAATTGGGAGATTAAAACCTTGCCATTGTGAGGAAAAATGTTGGAATTGCCAGATGTTCTCCCAGAATTCTGAGAAATAAAGTCAGAATTGTGGAATGTAAATTCAGAATTACAAGATATAAACTCGCAATTGTGAGAAAAAGACATCAGAATTGTGAGATATAAACTGTTTTAAGAAAAGTCTGAATTGTGAGATGTAAACAATTCTTAGAAAAAAGTATGAAATGCGAGATGTAAACTCAGAATTCGGAGAGAAAAAAGGGTCGAAATTATGAGATGTAACCTCAGAATTCTAAAGGAAAAAAGTCAGAAATTGGAAGTAAAAAAAATGCAACTTGCAAAAAACTTTTTTATATTTTTATTCCACAGCAGAAAAAAGCTTCATTATATTTCAAATATAAGAACACTTGATTTTTAAGTATGGACTAAGAACATAAATGTGTCATTTATAGCATGTAGTAGAGTGAGTCTAAATATCAGTCCAGTCCAATATAGTTGAGTATTGTCTGTCTGTCTGTCAGAGGAGCAGAGCTGTTTCAGGCCAGCATTGTGAAGGCTGTGAGAGCTCGTCTGGAGGAGGAGAAGAGATCCATGGAGCAGCTGAAGAGACAGTGAGAAACATCCTTTCATTCATGTGCCGTGATCTTTGTATTTGTCTTTAGTGTTTCTTGATTTCATGAGTTATGTGAAATAGTGTAGTGTAGTTTTTTTAACTAACACTTTTATTCAGCAAGAATGCATTAAATTTATCAAAAGTGACAGTAAAAATATTTATAATGTAACAAAAGATTCTATTTCAAATAAATGCTGTTCTTTTGAGCTTTCTGTTCATCAAAGAATCCTGAAAAAAATGTTTAAAATGTTTTCAATATTGAAAATAATCAGAAATGTTTCTTGAGCAACAAATCAGCATATTAGAATGATTTCTGAAGATCATGTGACACTGAAGACTGGAGTAATGATGCTGAAAATTCAGCTTTGATCACAGGAATACATTACATTTGACAATATATTACAATAGAAAACAGTTATTTTAAATTAGGATAATTTTTCACAATATTACTGTTCTTACTGTATTTATGATCAAGGCTTGATGAGCAGAAGAGACTTCTTTTTACATTAAAACATCCCAGACTTTTAAACAGTAGCATATATTACAACAATGGACATGGGATATTTAATTGGATTATTATTATGTGTGCTGTGAATGATTTCTCTCACTACCATGAATGCATTCATTTAGGATGGATCATATTAAGACGCGACAGCAGAAGTTCAAGAGAGGAAAGGAGAAGATGCTCAGTATGGCTCAGGAGTCTGGAGACGAGCAGAAACTCATCCAGCCCGACGACAACGATGATGATGATGGTATGATGTAGATCTCGACAGTAGGAGAGTGTAATAGTGATAAAATAGTGTCCTTTCTTAGGAACTTCACCAACAGAACAGTAAAAAAAACATGTTTAGCGTTCTTATATGTATGTATTTAACTGCATATTATTCACATTTTCCATAAAGCAACCAGGAAAAGGTTTCATTTCCAATATCACCGTCACCTCTGACGTGCTTTCATTAACACTCTGACATTTCATTTGCAGAGAGAAAGAAAAACAAGGTGCAAAAAAAGCAGTGGTGGAGGCCTTGGGTTGACCATGCGTCCAGTAGGTTCCTCATACCTTCCTCTGATCTCACTGATCCTTGTGTCCTTGACCAGAAGTCAGAGGATTCCCATACTGCTCCTGGGCTCCGTCAGACTGTCAGACTCCATCCAGACCTCAGACTTTTCTACATCTATTTAAGGCCGTCTGCCTTATGAATGTACAAACAGTATTAAGTACCAGTGGTAGATACTTTAAAGCAGGCATTTCATCAGGAATCACATGTTCCTTGATCTTTTAAAGTGTAAAACTAAATTATGACTTATTCTATTCTGAATTATTCTAAAAATGACATTGATTTGATGCCTTAAATAGATCTATACAGCTGCTGGAGGAAAAGCTGAATGTCTGGATGTTCTGGTTTGTTGTCATGTGACCGTACACTCTTAAAAATGCTGGGTTGTTTCAACCCAACTTTGGGTCAAATATGGACAAACCCAACTTTTGGGTTAAAAATTTAATTTTAAATTTGAACCCAACAGCTGGGTTAGTCCATATTTGACCCAAAGTTGTGTTGAAACAACCCAGCATTTTTAAGAGTGTATGAGCAGGTGAACGGAGACGTACAGTAGAGAATCACTCTGCTTATTAAAGTCCTCTAGAAACACTGTCGTAGAAAAGAGAGAGAGATTTATACCATATAATAATATAATATAAGAATCAATGTGAGCAGCTTTGGTTTTATAAGAGTAATTCATCCATAAATGAAAATGCTGTTTGTTTGTTTTTTTTCTTCAATGGAATGTTTTAAGGAGTTATTTAGCAGAATGTTCATGGTGCTCTTTTTTTTGCAATGAAAGTCAATGTTTTATGTTTTTTTTTTTTTTTTACAAAATTAATACTTTTATTCAGAAAGGGTGCATTAAATTGATCAAAAGTGATAGCAAAGACATTTATAATGTTACAAATGATTTCTATTTCAAATAAATGCTGCATCTTTGAACTTTCTGTTCATCAAAGAATCCTGAAAAAAAAAAAAAATGTATCATGGTTTCCACAAAAATATGAAGCAGCACGACTATTTTCAACATTCTGAAAATTCAGCTTTGACATGACAGGAATAAATTATATTTTAAATTATATTCAAATAGAAAACAGTTCTTTTAAATTGTAATAATATTCCACAATTTTATACTGTTTTTACTATATTTTTATTCAAATAAATGAAGCCTCAGTAAGCAAGAGAGACTTCTTTCACAAACTTTAAAAACATCTTACCGACCCTGATCATTTGAACAGCGGAATAAACAGAATAATACGCAGATTACAAGGCAAAATAATTCTTCAGTAAGCTGGAAAACTTTGCCAAATCAACTTTCATAGGGTTCCAGGGGGAAGAATCGTTTGAGTTACTAGAGGGTCAGTAAATGTTCATTTTTGGGTGAAATAACTTTATAAACGAGATGTTTATGGTCCCTCTCTTTATCTCCTTATCAGAAAAGAAAGTGCTCAACAGAAAAGCATCAAAAAGCAAAAGAAATACCGTCAAACTCTACGGTGTGAAATGAGTGAGATGGTATTTACTTTGTCTTCTTTGATGAGCTGATCTCAGTTATCAGCGTGATACTGAAGCACATAAGATCTGACTGTAAACCTTCTTTAAACATCAATATCTGTTTTATATAGTGATTAGAATACTGACTATTAAGGAAAACCTGCCATACACAAACATACTGTGGTGGTACCATGGTACAGTGATTGTATCAGACGGTAATACCATGGTATATGATTGAATATGGTTGCCATATTCATTTACTATGGTATTTACATGTACTGCAAAGACTACCATAGTATTATTATCATGATCCTGTCCAAAAAGCCATGGTATTACTGTGGTACCATGTCTGAAAACCATGGTATCACCATTGTAGGTTTTTTTTTTTTAATGAGAGACACTAATCACTATAGAAAATGTGATCTTTTTTGGAGATTTTTAGGGCCGTAATTTGGTTTTGTAAATCTCAGGCCCTCAAATAAGTGTTGAAATGTTTTCCCAGCATCCTCCCTGTCCTCCCCCTCCATTGCAGCTCTTCTGTTCAAGGACACAAGGCAGTTTCCTTCTCCAAATCCTGTTTTTCTATGCGATTGTGAAACTGCACACACACTGCACACTGTTTCTGAGCTGTCAGATAACAAACTAACCCAACTAGAGATACAAAATGAGTGTAGTTTTATTTTCATTTTGTTGTTTTCGTTTTTTGATAATTGCTGTTTTATTGAAATACTGTAGTATAAAAAAAGCATAAAATGGGAAATGCACGATTTAATCTTCTACAGTTTTATTGTTTGTTTGTTGTGGTACTGCTTTAGAAATCTGTTATGCCTTATGAACTTAGTTTAACTGTTGTTGTTTTTTTTAGATTTAGAGATTCAGGTAAGTTTGGTCACAAGATTCATTGGGATTTTCTCAGGTGCTGTGTAGGGATGTGCAAAAACTTTCAAAATGTTTTCAGCCTTCATTTTATTTATATATATGACCCTGGACCACAAAACCAGTCTTAAGTGTCAATTTTTCGAAATTGACATTTATACATCATCTGAAAGCTGATAAATAATCTTTCCATTGCTGTATGGTTTGTTAGGATAGGACAATATTTGGCAGAGATTCAACTATCTGAAAATCTGGAATCTGAGGGTGCAAAAAAATCTAAATATTGAGAAAATCGCCTTTAAAGTTGTCCAAATTAAGTTCTTAGCAATGCATATTACTAATCAAAAATTAAGTTTTGATATATTTACGGTAGGAAATTTACAAAATATCTTCATGGAACATGATCTTTACTTAATATCCTAATGATTTTTTGGCATAAAAGAAAAATCTATAATTTTGACCCATACAATGTATTTTTGACTATTGCTACAAATATACCCCAGCGACTTAAGACTGCTTTTGTGCTCCATGGTCACATATATGAATAATCAAAAACGTGTTATTCTCTTGTTCCGATTTGATGTCCTTGTTCTTGCTCAACGCTCTCCTCCGTTCCTCTCTCAGTGGTTAGAAGTGGTGATTATTACCTGTTTGAAACTGACAGTGAAGAGGAGGAGGAAGAGGAGGAGAAGAAAGATGAAGAACAGCCCAAGAGATCAGCCTTCCAGGTGAGTGAACCGCTGCTGGTCGGATTGAACTTCTCTGGAGTCAAACTTGTTTAAACTTCTAACTTCACAAGTTTGCATATGTGTTTTCTGTTTTGTATGTTTTTGATACATCAGGCTTTTACTGTATGATATAGTGAGAATATGGATCAAAAATATGTCATTTGGTGCAGATGCTGATATTTATATGGACAAAAAGCAAAAAGTATGAAATTCTGGTGCTTGTAAATTAATGAGATCTTTATAACAGTATAACAGACTACTTACTTAATGATGTAAATATCAGTTGTCATTCTATATCTCCCAATATGTCTTAGTAAGATGATATTTAAATGCTTTGATCAAAACTCTGTCTTTTCAAAATATATAAAGCAATACAATGATGACTGAGAGATGAACAAATAAACGTTCCTCAAAAGCCTGATGATCAATTTGAGACTCAAGTTTTAACATGACTTTTATGGAGAATCAAGTAAATTGTAAAGTGTTCATCTTGAAAAATCGCTAACAATATCAAAGTTATTCTTATGTTTACTTTATAAAAATCAGTAAAGATTTGACCGCAAAAGACACGTGAAGCTCGAGCTGAAGGTGATCGTTTGTACAATTACACTAAAAGAGCTTTATGGCTCCAATACGCATGGAGTAGATTGTGTGAGGGGTTTTTTTAGCAAATATTTTACATTACTTAGAAATTTGCATATCAAATGTGATACTGTAGGTTTTATATAGAGTTAAGAAGTTTCTCCTAGAGGAAATTGTTATTGCTCAGATGTTGCCCTGATGTAGTAAAGATGAAACAATGTTTGCAAACACCATTTTACATCAGAGTAAAAAATAAAATTCAGTGGGGAAAAACTGTAGGACAGAACTTGATTGAAAAATGGGCATTGTCACAGATGTTTTGCCTAAAATTTAAAATAAACACAAATAGAGTCAATAGTTGTCATCAGTAAGAGCATAGAGCTACAAATGAATGAGCTCAGGTCATTTGATGAGAAAAGTTCATGTTGAGATCTCTGACTTTTGATAGCAGGCGTTATATCTTCACAAATCTGAGCACATTGAGCCACTGTTGAGATCTCTTCTGAAACTCTAGAGGAGACACATGAGATTACTGGGGTCTTTTTCTCAGGAGAAACATCTGAGAAGCTGGAGACTTCAGCTGATCAAAGTCTCCTGTTGATCTCCGTTTAATCTCATTGCTGTTTAGGAGGAACCGTTGAAATATTAAAGAGATTTCATTTGTGATTTTTCTTTCCTACACTGAAAAAAAAAAATGGTGTAGAAACAATTTTCACTCAGACATTGTTAGTAAACAAAGAAGTTGCCAGTAACACATTGAATTAAATGTGAAATTTTGAAGTAGAAATACTTTCTTGCAAAACATACTCTAATAATCGTTATTTACAACTTTGGTCAAAAACCAATCAAATACCAACATCCATCATTTGTGCATCTTCTTCTCTTAAAATAATTCCAACATTTCACAATGTTGTTTCCCAGAGCATCTGTTGCGTTGGTTTATCCATCTGTTTTTGTTCATGTGTTGTGTCGTATAGTGCTGTAACTGTCTGAAGGGCTTCAGGACACTGATGCTGTGATTTTCTCCTGGTTTTTCTCCTCTCAGCAAGCGATCAGAAAGTTTGCTTCGGCCCTCGTGGCTTTACCCAGATCTGTCATTAAACTGCCCAAAACTGTTCTGCAGTATTTAATCAGGGCGGCCAAGGTACCACCGCGGGGAACGTGTCATCTGTGTTTCCATCTCTGTGTTTGTTGATGGTGTTTTATTGTAAGATTTCCATTCCATGTTGTTCCAATTGTGTAATTTGTAAAAATATGAAATGGTAAAATATAACTCCTTCAAGGATGCATGGAATGGAAATGATTTCGGAGTGTTTTTCATTGTTTCATGTCGTGTTTTTTTGGGACGGTACTTTTATTTTAAGTAATTTCGTTGTGTCTTTTCTGTTTATTTACTTTAAAGGTTTTTTTATTTGCTTGTAAATGATGTGATTTGCTCCACTGTATTTGAGAAATGACCACAAAAAAAAAACATCAAACCATTTTACACTCAGCATTCACACTGAGTGTGAATCATTCTGATATTAGTGGAGCAGAAAACATTTACTGTCTTTCCATTTTCTTGTGTAACCTGGATTCAAAGAACTCAGTCCAATAACTGAATAAATACACCTCAATATAAATGTATATACAACTCAAAGATTTGGAAAATTTGTATGGAAAACAGTTGTTTGTATTCAGTGTGGGTATTGTGTGGTGGATGTGCTTGTTTATCCAGTTTCAGTCAAATTCAGCCTTCTCAGGGGTTAAAATACAAATTCATGGTCTAAAACAAAAATGCAATGTATGTGTGTTGTGGGCAAATTTGAATCATGAGTTAAATTTCAACTGGCTTCCTGAAATGGCTGAATGTGCGACATGTTTATGTGTTGACATCCACGTGCAACACTATATTTAAACACTGCATTAATAAATTAATTCAAATTGATGCTCTGTAGTTTGTGTACCACACCTGGATTGCTGACTCTAAAGCAGCCCTGAAAGAAAGAGGCAAAGGGAGGCGTCATTTCTGGAAGCGATACGGCCGCAGACGTAGAAAAGACAAGAAAGAAGGTATGGCAGCCTTTAAAGGGGTCATATGATGTTGCTAAAAATAACATTATTTTGTGTATTTGGTGTAATGAAATGTGTTTATGCGGTTTAAAGTTCCAAAAACACATTATTTTCCACATACTGTACATTATTGTTTCTCCTCTATGCCCCGCCTTTCTGAAACGCATCGATTTTTACAAAGCTCATCGTTCTGAAAAGCGAGGTGTGCTCTGATTGGCCAGCTATCCAGTGCGTTGTGATTGGCCGAATACCTCAAGCATGTGACGGAAATAGAGTGAGGAACAGCCGGCGGGCTTGAGAACGGCGCGGCTGGCGGATTTGACGAAGGAGCATCCGGCGGGCTTGCGGCAACCACATGTGACGACCCCGGGCTGGGCTCCTCTTCGTCCACAGTGAAAGCCGATCCGGCGATCGACAGAGCGAAGTTGATGTATTTCCTCAGCGACCAGCACGGATCAGATCCAGGCATGACGAAGCAGATATCGTCCTCTTTTGGA